ACAAAATACTCTACACAATTGGCTGAATGCAGCGCTGCACTTAGCGATTGTTCTACGCCCTAGCTGCAGCGCTGCATTCAGCTAAGTGCAGCACAGTCTCTAGGGGCAGCGCTGCAGCTAGGATGCAGCACAGTCGTTAAGTGCAGTGCTGCATACAGCTAAGTGCAGCGCTGCAGCTAGGGTGTAGAACAGTCGCTAAGTGCAGCGCTGCATTCGGCTAAGTGCAGCACAGTTGCTAAGTGCAGCGCTGCAGCTATGTGCAGCACATTCACTAAGTGCAGCATAGTCGCTAGGTGCAGCGCTGCACCTAAGCAAAAATTTTCATAGCCCTAACGATTATTTCAACGTATCGTTATTATTTATTGTGGATGATCCGCCTTATTCGGAGCGGCCTTCTATTTGCTCCTTTCTTTACAACTCCTTTTGCGATTTTCATAAACGAAGAAACTTGTGCTAGTGCAGAATTGCTCTGCACTTACCGACTGCGGTGCAACTAATTTCAGTATGTATTTTGGTTTTATTACTTTTAGAACTTGGATTATTAGAAAATCGGTTAGCAAAATTCAAATATCATTTCATCAAACGATAATTAAATGGATAAAGAAATGATTGCTACCCTCATTTAGGCTACCGCTAGAATCATTCAGCAGCCTTTCAAGTCCAACTATATTTTAATTTTAATTGTTGAACAGAGCTCTGTTAAGGCGTTAGCAGAGTTTTATAAACGGATATGGTAGGTGTCCGTGCTAGTGAAATTTGAATTTATCTTCACATCTTTAAATAGTTTTTTATTGCTGCACAAAATTTATCTCGTGAAATCGTACTTTTCCCAGCAGTTGGTAAACATTTGTACTTTTTGTTTAACATTTTGCTCCTTGTGGAGTTTACGCCATTTGCTAGACTCCATTTGAAGTAGACCACCAATAATCTCCTAAATTAATATTAAAATGAATAATATTTTAAGTGTACTTGTTCAGGATCTCTCTTTATGGGTATCTCTTACCTGGGCAAAATTAGCAGGAAAACGGTCTTCGTCTTCAATGACATGAGCAAATCCGGTGTCCATACCAAAATTAACCCAAAAATAAGGTAAACCTTTTGGTATACATTTGCGAAAGGAACGTTCACGCAGCGTTATCAATTGTTTATTAACACTCCATTCACGTTCCGATTCTTCAATAGCTTTCTTAAAGTAGAAAGGAGCCATTTCGCCTTCTTTCTGGTGTACTGGAACGCAATGAATGGTCATGTGAGGCTTCCTATGTAGACGATTAGCTATTTCATAGAATACAACATCCTTATGTTGTCTCTCAAACATGCGAGTTAAAGCTTTACGAAATTCTTGAACCTCTGACCAAGCGTCTTCATCTAATTGCGTTGCGCACGCAACATGCTGGTTGGATGCTATAACGCAATGGCCCGTTTGCAAACCCACATGCCAAGGAAGTGCTAGGTAAACTTTTTCGCCGACAGTCACTAATAATTCCTTTTGCATTCTTGTTGAATCAAAGCATTTGTCACAGTTATCTAGAACCTTTTCCAGTTTTTGATGATCTCTAATACATTGGTGTATGAGCTTTTTGTCAGCCTTTTGTTGATCGTATTGACTAGCCTTTTCAGTAAATATATCTTCAACATCGTCCCGCAAACTATTGTGCTTGCCAACGATATTAGCAAATTCCATATTATTGTCAGCGGCGCTTGTGTACTTTTCTTTTTCAAACATTTGTTTTATATCATACTTGTCATCGTCGGCAAAATAACGAATACGTTGTCCTTGGTCATGGGTTTCAATACGGGGTCGTTTTCTACTCTTTTGGTGATTGCCATCTAGATCACGAGGATGTGAGCAATTTGCTCGAGGTAGAGGTTTGCTACATCCCGCCGCATCAGTGTAAGTGAGGAGTATGTGTTGACTTGGTATGGGTCGTTTTTCATATCCGTTTAGTTGGTTCAAATCAATATTCTTACGCTTTTTTAATTCAAAACGACTTTTTCGTGCGTTTTCCAACTTATTCTTCAGTTCTTCAGCCAAAATCATATTACCCATGATTTCCGCCTTAATAAGTTTTGCACCCAACTCATTCATTTGTTGATCTGTTAAGACGTCGTTTATGGCAGATACTTCATACTGCTTCTTAATCCCTTCTTTATCATCACTATTCGATAATCTTTCACTGATTACCGCCGATGTATCACTACTCGAAGTGTTCGATCTATTTCTGGATAGAAATTTATTGTCTTTTCCAGTATCTTTCTTTCTCCAACTTTGGGAGGTTACATCGTTCTTTTTGTTACAAATACCCTTGCTACTGGAAGTTCCACCTTCATCTTCATCAGTGTCATTTTTTGGCTTCTGAAAAGTAGTTGGCAAACCCGTACCTGTGGCTTTCCAATAGGGATTTAGTTCCCTTATATTTCTGCAGGGATCATAAGTTTCAAATGCCTCCTTCTCGTTAGCTTTTTTTTCAACGCGTTCCTTGCTATAGGTCTTTAACAATAAAGTGTCGGTCATCCAAGTATCACGTTCTAAAGTACATTCTTCAGTTATTTTCGGACTTTTACTTCTTCGATGAGATTTCTTTTTGCTTTTCCTAAACTCATTTTTGTTGCAATGTTCCTCATAATTGTCATTAGTGTCACTTTCAGAACTATCTATGCTGCTGCTATTATCCGATTGGGGCTTTTTATGCCGTTTCTTTTTGCTCTTTTTGGATTTTTTTTTCTTATCTTTTCGTTTTTTGCATTTTTTGTTCTCACGTTCTCTTCTTTCAAGCTTCGTACCGTTACTTTCTTTTTTAGGATCTTGATGTACTTTTTGTTCTGCTTGCATCGCCCTTTCCTTAGCCTGGAAAATAAGATATTTTTCGTATATTGTAACAGTTTAGAGTTCAAAAGTGTGAATGTGATTATTTTTACATTTGCCAACATTTCATTTCTTGCTTCCCTTAATTGTTGCCGAGCACGTTCTTTATTATCGACATTTTCAGATTGTACGAAATTCATGTTTATTCAAACTTTGAGTTTACTGTTTTGATTTGATTTATAGTGAAATGTGCAAAGTGTAAAGTAAAATAGTTGCAATTATTTTTTACCTCACAAAGACAATAAATTTGCTAGAGTTGCCCAACCTAACGAGTATTTTACCTTACTGAGACGTGAGTTTGCATTCGGGGTATTTTCACTGTAGTATTTAATAGTAAAATTTTATAACCGATATGCAACAGTAAGTGTACGTTCTATTTATAATTGACAAGCTTGTTTACTCTATTTTTTTTTGTATTATGCCCAGCGCACTACTTAATAACTTAATGCAAGTGTTTGAGTTTGTGCAGATATATACATACCCAACACATCCCAAGTCATCTTCTGTTATGTTAATCTCCTCTGTTTGGAGATTTTTTGACGAAATTTTTTACATATTGATTGAATCGGATTTTCTTTACAGCCACTACCCAAATAAGGATCTGTATTGAACTTTGTCATTATGGTCTATAAATATGCGATTTTTAAGACTTAAAAAAGAGGAATCCCAATTTTGTGTATTAAATGAGCTTACAAAATTTGGATGGAATAGAATCTTTTTTGAAAAATCTTCTGCATAAACGTTCTTATATACAATAACCCAATGCATGACAACATGGTGTAATTTTTATTATATTTAACATACAAATTTAAAATGGTAGATTCACATTTTTAAGGGCGCTGCATATAAGTTTCAAAGATACGCTCTTCTTCTGCTCAGAGGACTGAAACAATGAGGCGTTATTTTCATTTCCGGATTAAAAACCAGCTAAGTGGTAGACACAATGGGTAGCCGCGCTACAGTATTGTTCTACAGGAAAACGTGAAAAAAACAAACGGTTTTAGAAGCAAAAAATTAAGAAACCACTACAAACATAAACAACAAATTCGAAAAAAATAACAATAACGAAGTTAATATAAAAGTAAACAAGCTTGTTTATTGATTGGTGATAAAGAAGATTGATTAGATATATGTATATATATATATATATATATATATCATTTAAGAATTCCCATTTATTAGTCTTTAATGAAATAATTTGGTGAATATATTTCAACCTCAAAATAAATTTTTTCTTGTTTTTCAGTGCTTGTAAATAATGCATGTTGTCATCTGGAATTGCAAATAATAGAAATAATATAAAGGAAGTATACTTCAGTGTAAGGTAAAAATAAATTAGATAAATAATTTGTTAATTTAAAATGCTTACCTACTTTCTTTTTGGGCACTGTTTTCTATTTGTGCAAAGTCATATGCTTTTTCAATTCCTATAAAATTTTGTGAAAAGTTGGTAAAGTTGAAGTCGCAGCCCGAAAATAGGAATAACACTTTATTGCTCAAAATTGCTTATATATTAACTAGGGGAGCTCCCATACATTTATAAATTAAAAGTTTAGTCATAGTGTGTGTGTGTGTGTGTGTTTTATTTTTCTTTTCATTTACAAAGCTCTGCATCTCTCGAATTATATTTTTCATGAAAAATATTTAAATCAATTAAAATGCCTTTATATGAAACTGTGATGCAAGAAAAGCCACCAGTGGTGTTGGACATTGGTACCGCTTATACGAAGTAAATTTTTTATTGCAAATAAACATCAAAGAAACGACGCTCATTTTTATTGATGCTTTTAGGTTGGGCTTTGCTGCTGAGGCTTATCCACGTAAAATAATACCTACTGAATATATTTCGTCCGCGAATGGAGAATCAAAAAAACTATTTAATTATGAAACCTTACAGGAGTTTTATGATCAAATGGTCGATTTTTTGCAAATGATATTTTTCAAGTATGATATTAGAAATTTTAAAAAGTCTTCGCATAACAATTGTTATCTAATCCTAGATATCTTCTAGTCAGTCCAAAAGATCGTAAAATAGTTATTGTTGAGAATGTTTACGGTCAAACAGTGATACGCGAAACCTTAGCTAAGGTTTTGTTCCGTCATTATGAGGTCGCTTCCGTACTGTATGTACCGTCACATATGATTGCTTTATCTACTTTGGCGGTACCTAATGGGGTTATAGTCGATATGGGGTATGCCGAAACTACAGTAATGCCAGTCTTTAGTGGTGTCCAGATCATGCAAGCATTTCAAGATCAGAAGTATGGTGGACGCGACATACATGAAGTATTGAAATGTTTGCTTTTGAAAGAAGGTATTGACTCACACTTATTAACAGAAGAAGTGCTAGAAGATATAAAAGTTCGCACTTGTTTTATCACAAAATTAAGTCGAGCCCACGCTTATGCTGAAAATAATCCACCGCAAGCACCGCCTGATGTACAATATCCAATAGCCGACAAGGCCATTATTACAGTACCAGGTCACGTGAGAGAAGAAGCTTTCGAGATTTTTTTTGAAAAGAACAACGACCGTGACAGTTTACCGCATTTAATACTTAAAGCAATACTTGGCTGTCCACTAGACGTGCGTCGCATTTTGTGTGAAAATATATTTGTCGTGGGAGGTTCGTCAATTGTGATGGGACTACTACCGCGTCTCAAAGAAGAATTGCAATATTTAGTAGCCAATGATAAGGAATATCAAAAAAGATTGCATGGTGATATTATCTTCAAGTTCCACAAGTGCTTAGGGCGTGCTAACATTGCCGCGTGGCTGGGTGCCTCTTTATGCGCAAGCACAGATTTGGTTAATTCCCGTTCATTAACTAAAGAAGCTTATATGCGCTTCGAGAGAGTACCCGATTGGATCTGTCTAGATGATAATCGTGTAAATGGTTAAAATTAATTTATTGTATTCTAATTAAACTAAAAATATCATTAAGGTAAAAAATTCTCTTATAATAATCTTTGTTTTGAAAGAAATATATTATTAAAATTTACATGGAAATTTCTGTCAAACCGAATTTCATTTGTAGTTTCTTCTCCTCTTCTAATAACGCTTGCAAATTTCGTTTTCTAGTCTCCTCATCTTCATTCTTATGTGTAGCGAAGTGTACACGTAAGTCTTTAATTAAACGAAATCCTTGCGGGCACAGTTCACATTTATATACATTATCGCCTAAATGGCTCCGTAAGTGTTTCACTAAATCATTACTTTGAGCAAAGGCACGTGTACAATATTTACATTTATAAGGTTTTTCTCCTGTATGAGTGCGCATATGACGGCGCATTTGATCGGCCAAAACAAATCTGTGGTAGTTGGAAGAAATTTGAAAAAATTAGTTTGAAGAGAGTTAAGAAGGACGTTGATCTCTAACAATAATAATAATAACGAGAGTTGCGAGACTAATAAGAAAAGAGGAACAATTACCTCATTTCGCAGTATTCACATTTATGGGGTTTCTCCCCATTGTGATACATCTTATGTTTCTTAAGCTGATAGGGTTTAATGAAACCCGCTCCACACATATCGCAAACGTGAGCCTTGTTTTTATAATGTACTGCTTTATGGGAAGCCAAATCACTAAGACAAGGAAATTTTTTTGGGCAATCCGGACATTCGTAGCGTTTATCGGCATTGTGTCGCAGTAAATGTTGTTTCATGTTACTTAAACTCTTGAAAGCTTTACCACATTCCGAACACAGAAAGGGTTGTTCCCCTGTATGTACCCGTAGGTGATCTTTTAATGTACTAGATTGTTGAAAAACTTTAATAGAAAAGGTATCAAACGTAATTGCGTTACTTAAAAGCGTCTCAGTTATTTTACATACAAGTACCTTTTTGACAATATTTGCATTCGTAGGTAGCTTTTTGGCCTATTGGCCTTCGCTTGATTTCATCAGGACCCCGCATATGAATCTTTTCATGACGTTTAAGGCTCTTACGGGTCGATAATCGGCCACCACAAACGTCACAAATAAACCTTTTTTTACCTTCTTCATCATTGCTTTCAACTTGTGGCTTTTCTTCGACATGTTCTTCCTCATTCTCTTTTTCTACGGACATAATTTCATCACCGTCACCTGCAGCAAGCCAATCATCATTTTCATGTATAGTGTCCCTTTTTAATTACTTACCCTCGACCTTTGGCAATTTTTCCCCATTTGTATTTGGTATTGGTTGACTTCCCTTACCTCGTAAATGTATCTTTTTATGACGTTTAAGACTTTTACTGGTAGACAAAGCGTTACCGCAAACATCGCATACAAAATCTTTGGGTATAGAAATTTTTGCTGATGATGTGATTTTAATATCTTTCTCTCTTAGTTTGTTAATATTTAACTGTTGCTGCTGCCTTCTATATTCTTCCAAAACCCAGTCGCTGTCGTCACTATCACAATTTCTATCATCGCCCTCAACTTCATCACTTAACTCATATTCCTGTACTTGCATTTCATACTTAATATTTTCTGTGCTTGTATTTCTTTCAGCATAATTATTTTCCAATTGTGTTGTATCAATTAAAGGTTCTTCCATCTCTATCTTAATTGTGGTTGTTATATCACAAATAGCCCTGGAAATGCTATCATCTAAAGGATCATCCATGGAAATATCAACACTATCCTCCTTCCCTTCTACATTCTCATTAGGAAGATGCTTTTGTTCCTGCAGCATTTCTCTTAATTGTTGATCGACTCTTAAACTCATCTGTTGAAATTCGTAAGCCTTTAAAAGTTTGCCAACGCATTGTTCACATACATATTTAGGTAGGTCATCGTTCGCCTCAATTCTTAATTGAGGCGTAGTATTAAGCAGCATATCTATTATCGGCGGTGAATTAACGTTATTATCCGTGCCCTCGGGTGAATTGTAGATAGATATCATATTACTTGTGGATGTTTTAAATGTTTTTCGTTTTTTGTAAGGTGGTGTTTCGCTACTTTCCGCATTTGCTTCGCTACTCATACAGGTTCGACATACGGTTTGCAACTTTGTTGCGGTGGAATTATCCATGATAAACGATAAAATTATGAGAAGAAAGCTAGTTTGTTTACAAGTAATTGTAGTTTTGTGTAAAATTACTATTGCCTTTTCAAGCTGCGCAGTGTTGCCAAGCTGCTATAATATAAATAATTCCTTAAAATAAAAATTTAATAGCTGTTCAAATATTTCAAACAAAAACGTTCTCACAATCAATGCGACAAATTTAGAAAACTTAACGTTTGTATTTATTCTTCGATCTCCTAATAATTACTTCTAAATCTGTAGTCCGCTTACAGTCTCTATATATATTTAGTTATAGTAGTATCTTATATCTCGTGTGTTAGCCTAGAATACTGATCAATCCAACTAAAGTCTGCTATTTCAGTTATAACAGCTTATATTGTTTATAGTCAAACAAATACAAACATATATATACATTTGATGGATCATTAACGATAAAGATGGTTTATTTAGATTCTTTCTGATCGTTGGGTATTGATTGTTTCTTGTTAACTCTTTTTGAATGAATGATTTCTTTGTATTATTCAGAAGTGCTTATTATATAGTTTAGTTGTACATATCTTAAGGTATTGGTTCAGGTTTTTGATATTATACAGCTTAGTACTATTACAGTTAACTAGGCTATTATTATTATTATATATCAAAACATCAACTAGGCTGTTACCTTGATATAATTTAGTAAAGTAAATACGTATACAATTGCATCACAACGATTAAATATGCAATGCATGCATTAAAACTAATGTAATAATATTACATGTTAATTTAAAAAAAAAAGAAGCCCTCCATCTATTTTTGTTATAGGAGATTTTCTTTATTTTATTGGAAAAAAAACAAAGAAATTAGTAAAAAAAATGAATGAATGAAAAAGTGATATTCGGCTGTGGTCGAATTTTTTTATAGTTATTCTCTGAGTCTATAAGAAACAGCAAGAAAAAGGGTTCTTCGATATTCTATAATATTGCATAACCGTGACTAATTTGATTTCTGCCTGCAATAATTTTGAATATTTTCATCAAATTTAAAGGCGGTATGAAGAGAACGTTCTTCCACACGCATTACACAGATGAATAGCTAAATATGCTTATATCTGTTCAAAATTCGATACCAGTTAAGATAATAATAATAATTTTGTAGGTCCTTAAAGCGTCCTTTTGCGTGTTGGGAATGTTGCGACGAATATGCTTTACAAATGTTTGCGACAATCCGACGTCATATCAAGAAATGATTAAGAAAATGAAAGAGCAAGAAATCAATTGGCTGTCAACTAACAGCTGTTATCGATAACAGAACACAAAAGGACCGCAATAATCTTCTAGTTTGAATTTTGAGTAAAATGTTGGACCATATTGTCGTTTAGGTGTCTCTGCTATCAGCAACAATAACATCTTACGTCAATAAACAAACAAAAGAATCAAGTACTAACCAATAAACTTATACTAACCGCCGAGTTTATTTTGCGTGCAGACTAAGCCGTTTCTATTACAACGCAGCTTCTCATCTGTTATTGACTTGCTTAACATTAAAGAAGAAGAAGAATACTTTCAGTGCGCGAAATACACAAATATCTGCATTTTAGTTTACTAGAAATATACATACATTTTATTTCTTTTAATGTAATTAAATAAAAAATTAATATTCGGAATATACAGACGAATAATGGCTGCCATGTGGGCAATGCAAACAATGTGTCGTTTGTGCATGGCGGGTGATAACAAGCTAAAGGAAACTATCGTACCCAATAACATTAGTATTAAGGAGGAGAAATTTCCTGAAATGGTATCAATCTATAGTATACCCCGTCAACAAAATATTTCTGTAGCCATAGTGCAAATAATAAAACAAACTATACCGAAACTGCACGTTGCTGATAATTTACTACCAAAATTAGTTTGTACGGCTTGTCTCCGAAAGCTAATGGATTTATATAAATTCCAAGAGAAATGTTTGCAGTCAGAGCAAAAATATAAAAAATTGCTAACCGAAGAAAGTCAAAAAGATCCTTTGGATAAGAGTGAATTTTTGTCAAACATGAAAGAAATTGATGAGATTGTTGTAAAAATGGATTTAGATGAGAAACTTTTGAACGACAGCAATTTAAAGGATTCGGAAATTGATGATATTATCAGTATTATCAGCGATATTAAAGATGAGGATATACAAACTTGCAGTGATATAAGCGTGGATTTCGTTTGGACTGATAGCAACAGTGAAAGTAGTGATAGTGATTGGGCAACAGATGATAAAAAGAATAAGTATGTCAGTAGATTATAATGTTTACATAGTCGGCAAATGTTTTTCCTCTATTGCAGAAGCAAAGCGAAGACAAAAATCGCAACAAAGATAAATAAAAAAGATGATAAAACAAAGCCAACAGAATGTCTCGAAATTAGTAGTGAAACAATTACAGAGCAACAATTTCCTTGCGAGTTTTGTAAGAAGTTATATAAAACGAAGGATACACTTCGCAAGCACCATCGCTTGCATCATGGTACTGGAAAAGACAAGCGTGTTACTTGCAATATATGTAAAAAAGGTGAAACAAGAACATGATAATAACGTATATTTTTAACTGGACGAGTCCTTTTATTTAATCTTCTTCACAGAACTTAAACCCTACAGCTTTAAGGAACACATGCAGCTTCATAGCGGTAAAATGAACAGTAATTTGAATAAATGTTTGTAAAAAACCTAATATTTTCTTTCAGATAGAAAACCATATTTATGCTCGGAATGTGGTAAATCTTTTAGCTCGTCTAGTACATTACGTCAGCATTTATTGCGCCATAAAGCCGACCGACAATACCACTGCTCCTATTGTCCCAGAAAGTTTCCCTGTAAAAGTGATTTATTATCACATAGCCAAATACACCAAGCGAAGCCCAAATCTCATATTTGTGATGTATGCGGCAGTGGTTTCAGTAAGCCGTATTTGCTAAAGAAGCACAAAATGTATCACAATAATGAACGACCCTTTACATGTGAATATTGTGGTAAAAGGTTAGTTGAATCATTTTTATATCCCACAACTTGAGTCCAGAGAGGAAGCATTCGAAGTTCAGTGATAGTTCTAAAAAGCGACGTGAAACACTTGCCAGACCGTTGCGCAATCTTTTTATAGAGTACTACCATGCTGGCATTTATTCAGCCAGTACCATAGAAACCATGGTCAACTACCATCTAACGACATATCTAAAATCCAACGACCTAAGAAGTGACAGGAAATATGACAAATGGAAATTCAGAAACATCGGTCCACTGGTGATAAAATGTCCTACCCCACCGAAAGCTGGAATTGAGCTATTCGCCATTTTGGCAAAAGTAAGGTCGTTGCTCTACATGTCTTCCAAACATTCCACAGAGTGTGTCATGATGCTTTTGTCTACAAACTAATTGCACATGTTGACGATAGATTTTTCGCTCGATTCATACAGAGTTTGTTGGACAACCATTGATAAGAGTTGCAATCGACGGGCATTCTTCAAACGAATTATATTTATGTGCAGATGTACCAAAGGACCGTGTTCCTTCCGCTTTTCCTTTCCTGGTGTTAATTATTGACCTGCTGTGCATAACAGAGAACCCTATCTATTCGTTTGTAGGCGATAGGACCGCGGGATTCATTGCCTTTTAACTGTATTGCCTCTCTTTGGAACAACTTACCAGCAGGGGTCCTTTCTGCCGTACGCGACGTCTTCATTTTCAAATCGTCCACAAACACTACTACCTTCTTTCATCCCAATCTTCCTATAGCTCCTCCTGATCATCGCCCGGCCCGCATGAATAGGAGATGTTCTTTGAGTGACTGGTTACAAAAAAAAAATAAATAAATAAATAATATCCATTTGACGTTGGAATACATTAGGATTTTGCGGATGTATGCAACACCGAGAAGGGCTTATAAGATTGACACAATTTTTACTATGTCACTTGATTCAGACATTTTCTGAATTGATTTAAAGTTGTCTATTCGCCCGGCTGATGTCTGCTCATGTAATTTCGTGTTCAACTTACAAACCGAAATTTTTGAGTTATTTTGAACAAATACCTTATTTTAAAAATATCTCCATATGGTAAAACAAGTTTTAAATCTTTGGACGCAAACCGCTACTCTATTTAAACATACTACATTGATGTCTAATAATGGCCATTTAACATATAACTTGACTGCAGTAAATTTAGAAACACGTAGATCAGTTTTTTGGGCTCACACGATACAAAGCTTCCCACGAAAAGTAAGTTTTTACATAGCAAAAAAAAAGGTATAATTTTTAATGTTTTATAATGAAAATTGATCTGTCATAGCAAATGAAGAAAACCGAAAAAAAAAATAAAATAAACTCTATAGCAAATTAGACAACATTGGTCGCTGGGGCTCTATCCCTTGCTTAGATTTTGTAAGGTAAAAAGGTTTAATTTTTTATACTCGAAAAAAAAAAAAATTTGAAATTTCCTAAATTTATAACGCATTAGTGCATATTTTTGGCCTGCCTGTATATAAGGTCTTCCATGCAAAGAATATTTCGAATCTAGGTATAATTTTATTAACCAAAATTATGTAGGGTGTACGACGTCGGCGTGGTCCAACTATAATATGCTTGCCTCACTTTTTTATATGATATAAAACATTTCATCATATACTTCATATATATTCTATATATATATATATATATATATACTTTACTGTTCTATATAATGAGACATAACAATTTAATAATGAATTTTTTTTTTTTTAATTTGTCTTTTAGTTTCTTTACCGCTGAGAAGTTGAGACGGCACACGCGTACCCATACCGGCGAGAAACCATACCGCTGTAGTTACTGCGAAAAAGCTTATTGTCAATCGAACGAGTTAATGAAACACTTGCGCCTACATTTAGGAGAAAATGTCTATCAGTGTGAACTATGCCCACTAAGACTGCCAAATGTTAAAATTTTACGCGAACATTTCGCCAGTCATAAGGATGATGATGACGAGACACGGGAACGAAATTTATTAGCTTTAAAATCATTGGAAATGAAAGGAATTTATTCGAAATGAGTTTTTTTTAAGAGATATAATAAAATATGTTATATAGTTAAAAAAAAAGAAAAAATTTCCAATAAGTGTCTCTCATTCAGAATGCGACTTAAATATGAAAGAAATTTATACGAGTTTAGATAATTTGACAAATTCCAAGAAAAATTATCAGCGAAATTATTTGCCGTTATGGATATCGCTTAGAATCGATGCTCTTTTAGATGCAGACAATTAAATAATTAGTTAAATTATATAAATTATTGCAAGAGCTTTTACTAATATTGACAATTTAAAGTTTTTTCGAACATTATTTAAAAAATTATACTATAATAATCGTGTTCTGGCATTGTCACCGGTAACTAGTCACAAGAGAAAATTATGTGCTTTCTTGTCATAGCATTTATGATTTTGAATCAATTTAATATCCCGGAGAAGTGTATATGTATATAGTTGCTTTATTATAAGATAAATAAGTTGTTAAAAGTCAGGAAGAAGCCAAGCAAAAACATATCTTTTGACTTTTTAACTATTTACAATGCTACTTAGAATATAATTGATTGTAAGAATACTGAACACCACTGTTGTTGTTAAATTTAAGAGAGAGAAATCTTATCGTACGGAATTAAACAGTAGAATTTACGGGTGAGTAAAGAGAATTTACTGATGAATTTAATAACTTATCAATGTACCCTCTAATAAATTATATTATTTATAATTTTTTTAACCATTTTCTATTTTCTATTTGGGAGAGTCATTACCTTTGCACCGATGATTTTTGTCTTCACAATTAGGAAGAACGCTTCTTCTTTCAATACTATACTTACTAGACGACATTTTATGATCGACTTTTTTTTTTTTTTTTAATTTTCAAGAGAATGAAGTATATAAAATTTTATGTAAGTGCACTGTGTGTATTAGAACCGGAAAACAAAACATGTGTATATTAATTTTTTTCCAATATATATATATATATATATATATATATATTTTCTTTTTTTTTTTATGTATATATTGAGGATACTGGTTTTTTGATCCAACCACTACTGTGAGTATGCAAATGTTGGGGCAAGAAATAGCACCGGAAACCCGAGGAAATAATTTAATAATATCGCTCTATTCTATCGGATTAAATCACGATTTAGGATTCTAAAATTTCGCCTACAATAGTAAATTTCAATCTGAAGCTTCTTCTTTTACTGCCTCCAAGTTAAATTTTTTAGAAAAATTCGAAAAAAAGATACATCTACCTACTAGAATTACATTTATGTAACAATCTTTTCATAGTTCGCGTTAAGCATAATGGTAATAACACCGCATATTGGAACGTAAAAAATGCTTCCGCTCTATGCACATTATCTTACAGAGCCACATTAAACATATCTTTCTTAGCTTTACAATGTATTTACGAAAATGGACAACTAAAATAAATAAGGGATAATAAATATCAGAAAAGTCGGCGTAAGTCGCATTTCCTTTTTTTTTTTTTCTCTGCAATTGCTGTTTATTGTTCTCAAGACTTGAACAAAATATTCCGTTCCTTTCCATACTTCTTTCGACTTTTTCATCAATTCACAGAGATTATGAAAATTATTTTAAAAACATTTTCTTTCTTCTTCTTTTTTTTTATATTTTCTAATATTACTGGTTTCGAAACATGCTTTGAAGAACCGAGCTCACAGAAAAAATAAGGATTCACAATAATTAAATGGATAGAAGGCAACTATATCATACTAGAAGAAGCATACTATTGTCATATAACATCATAATTTTAAGGTGTCAGGCCACTTGGCCCATGAGCTTCAGACAAGCCAATAGGAATTGTTAAGCAGGCTGTAAAAGCAGCAATTTTCATATATCAGTATTAATACTAATGCGCGTTAAAAATTCACCGTGCGAATCGGCCACCGCTTGTATAATGTCCAATAAAAGCTCACGTGATAAACTTGAGATTTTCGGCAATCTTGCTACACGGGAAAAATCCTTAACAATTAATTTCAAAGCGTGATCCTTGATATCATAAATTTTTGTGTAATCTGAAGCTTCAAGAGTTTGCAAAACATTCTCATAGTTGATATTGTGCTCGAGGGAATACTTGCAAAATGAATGCAAACGATTATTGGCAAGACCATAAAAATTAGGGGCCTGAAATAGATACAGAGCATCTTGAGGCGGTAGTTTCGTTTCACCGTAATATATGTAACGTAAGAGAGATTGAAAAGCTTCTGGTGAAGGTAATATATCACCAATGGATATCTGAAAAAGGAATGAACAGAAATTTTGCGTAAGTAGTGATTAAGGTGACGTCAACGAAAAAAACCTACATTCACGGTATTATCGAGAGGCATAAATGAACGAAACATGCCTTGAAAGTATTGCGTGCGAGCCGATAAGATCGATTTATGTGCCGGTATAACTCGACCTTCTAACATAAGATTGATATCACAAAAGTCCTTACCCGTCGACTCTAAAAATACTGCCATATCACTTTCCAGCGTATTTCCTAAAGAATAATATAGTCAATGAATATCGATTGATTTCAAAATTGAGTTTTGGTACTTGCCCACGTTCTTTTCTAAATTAGCTTCATTGACAATCTTACAGGGATTCAAACGTCTACGTATTATCTCTACCAATAAAGGTTTATCTAAATCACTAAATTCGTTCGACATTACAACGTCAGTGAAATTCTCCTCCTTTATAATAAATTGCATGCAATGATCCTTCACTATTTGTATTCTTAAAAGAAAACCAAAGTGTAATGAAATTTTGATTTGAACTGAATTAGAAGGAACAATTTGTTGCCGTATACTCACTTTTTCCTATCAGCGTTATAAAGTGCTTCCAGGACATTTTGTTTATTTATCTTGAAATCCAAATATTGTATACAACCATGCGCTAAACGTGGCATTAAGAAGAGCCCGGCCAATTGATAAATGTCCGTAATTAAGATGATGATATTCTTTGTATAGGGCTCCTTAAGGTCTATGCGATCAGTATAGATATAATTAAGAATGATTTCAAATGCTTCGGGATTCGCATTAGGCAAACGAACTTCAAGAAGCGGCTCATGATTCGCACCCGGCGAACAAGTTCGAACTTCCACACACCCTGAACCGAATACTTTCTCCATTTGCTGATGCCTAGCATCACGAGCTGCTAAAATTTTTGTGCGCAAATACTTTGACCTAGCTGCCACAAAAGCTATATGAGCCATTATTTTGATTTCCTCAGGACCGACTATAAATTGAATGTCGCAAAATTGTTTATCATTAAAAAATTTGCCAAAATCTTCCCGTAAAGTGCACTTGGGATAACTGGAGAATTGGAAACGATAGGTGTCACCTCGTCTGACACTGTTATCTACAGTCCCACCAAAAATATACATGGCATCGCCAATAACAGCACTGGCATGAAAAACTCGGCCCGACGGAACATCTGAATTAGCCTCTGGTTGTATTATTGACCAAACTTGCGAATCTAGATCATAGCAATGCAAATCGTTGGGTAACGTCGAATCTGCAGAGCCACCAAAAACATAGAGAAAACGATCATGATGGACCATGGTATGACCATAACGTCTAGCCGGTGGTTGAGAAGCCACACCGCGTAAGACGTGCTCATTGCCAATACGGCGCCAGCTAAAGATAATACGTAATAATGTTAGTGTACAAGAAAGGAGAAAACTGTTTGCTTTACGTTTTGGTTTTGAAGTTGAATTCGAATAAAGAGTTGGTGATTTGCATACCACTTTGTCCTGAAAACACGTACATACAATCACGAGCCACTGCCACCGGGAAATTACAACAGGTTGGGGGACGTTCTCCTTTTTGCTCTACCTCTTCCCATTGATGGTTTTCTCCCTTGAAATAAATCAAAAATCATTTGAAATATAAGATTATATTTCTAATTTCACTTTGCATTTACCGTTAAATTCAATGTCCACATATCATTTAAGCGAGCGTTTCCATCGTAGCCAGCATAAATCCACATTTTATTATCATAAACAGCAGCTCCATGTGCGGAGCGTGGTACAGGCATTCTGTAGAGAAAATTGAATTAATTTATATATACTTTGCTTTCTAACTTACAAACTTACTTTCCTAAAAATTTCCATTCCACCCACATGGCACGTTGAAACTCGTATTCGAATAGATCGTTTTTATTTGTTAGATTTGAATTGGAGTGTATATCGCCGGTATAACCACCGAAAATAAACATGGAATTACCATAAACTACAGCGGAATGATGATAACGGGGTGCAGGTGGCGTACCTGTCGCGCAAGCACGTCCCCATGACTTATCTTTTACGCCAAACCGAATCAAATCGTTTAACATTGTCTTACCATTATCACCTCCGAATACATACATGGCATCTTTGTAGGCTACCACAGTATGTTTACTGCGTCTGTAATTAGAATAATAGGATGTGAAATCTATTATCTATGCTCAATTGCCTATGCCTTCTTACTTGGCTCCCACAAATTCAGCACATTCCAACATTTTTGTCCACTGATGGGTGGCCGTATATGAACTGAAGTCCACATTCAAGGCATTGCAACTATAACTGCCCGGTGACACCGATTTGCAGTTACGTGAAAATTGATTGCTGCGAACTGAATTTGTACTGGAATGTGACATTTTATTACAACTACGTGTTACAAAGCTACGACGACTTTTGCGTTCTACTTTTTTGCAAGCAACGCCAGGAACGCCGCCAAAATATTTATCCTGACAAGCAAGACAAAATCCCGCCTTTAGTATTTTAACATGCGTCGCAGTGGCCGGAGCCGACTGACTTGACACGGACAGTTGAGTATTACCCTGCTGTTGTGGTGTTATTACAGAAAATGTTGCTGGAGGCGAAGCATGACAACCGCCGCCACAAAAATTATAACGTAATCCGGAATTGAAAAAATTTGCACCTCCGCCGCTGCCACCGCAACTACCAGCTAAACTGCCACTGCTGGTGCTACTGCCAGAGCCGTCTTGGTTATCGGCCGCCGAGTATATAGCGTTTAACATTAAAACATCACAAAAAATTCCCTAATGAGTTCTTTATAAAAAAAAAAAAATGTTGAATATTCCTAAGTGCAAGCTACTTATTTTCTTTTCCTGCAATTTTAAAAGCTTTGCAAAATGCATGTGCGTGTATACAACAAGAGTAATTGAAAATATTTCCAATGAAATATTTCGTTTTTTAGTCTTAACAGCTGTTATATTTTGCATTCCATATCGCAAATGAACGCAGATGTGACACTTTCAACATTTTAGTCGAAAGTAAACATGAAATATTTCATTATAACGTATGTTTGTTTGTTTATCGCAAAATGATTTAAAGTCCATTTTTAATTATTTACTCATTATGAAAAAACACATTACTTATTATTGACCTTTATTAATTTTAGCCCAAACGCTGTAAACTATCATGTAAGGAACATTGCGAAAATACTATATATTTTGAAAATATTACAATGAAAATGTATTGCCTTCTCGCTTGCACAACTCTATCGCGTGCGTAATGTCCAGACATTTTTATGGACGAGTTAGTGAAAACACAATGAGAAATGATTTTCTATCGTATGTGAAAACATTGCTTATGGCAATGCTGTCGATAGTCATTTTATTAAAAATAACGTTTGTTGGACTTGTTTTAAAGTTAACCAAAAGAATTAAGAGCACCCTCCAAAGGCAATTCAAACTCTTCTAATACTGATGGTGAAAGTGGTGGAGGTATTAAGTTTTCATCGTTAGAATTACTGATCGTCGAAGAGACTGCGTGCGATGTGTCAGCTGTGATAATTGGAGTAAATTCACAAGGAGCTGTTACTGGCAATATTTTAACATGTCCCTTTCTAATTTCAAAAGATTTAAAACATAAATATCTAAACTTTGATTACATCTATGTAATAATATCGCTCGCAAATCGGATTACGTGCGCTCACTATATTTGTGTTAATTGCATATTACTTTTTATATATAATCTGATATAATATATGTAGCTCTTAAGATATGTATTTTGATATGTGTTTCCTTAGATACTATCATTACTAACACAAATGCCAAAAAATAGACCACAAGGGAGATTTATTTGCATATATATTTGTAAGTTCTAAAGTGTATTGAGTCGGAAAGCAGTTTAAAAAATTGAACCTATATCCTTCGTTTTTTTTTTTTTTTGTTTGATCCTTCCAGAATGAATGAAATCATCGGAAGGGGGGAAATTCTTAAAAAGGTTTTTTATAAAGACTTTTAACGATATCCATACATCATTATCAGGGTTAAAATGGAAGAATACTATACCTAATAATAGTGTATGAAATGAAGAAGGTATTTAATGGCATCAGCAACATACGGATTAGCTCATTTCTACACAGTAACATTGAAAAAATAACCTTAGCGAAATGGAAAATGCCATAAGCACCTTATATAAAGAAAAAGTACCAAACCCTCTAAGACGCTTTCTTAAATGATTTCAAATAAATTTCTTAATTAAAAATGACTTTGCCAGGATGTTTAACATTAGAATATCTATTTCTACAAAAAGGACCCATTTGGAGACCTTTCATTTGTGAAATTGTCATATTTGCCAGTATCGAGATGAGAAGATAAAAATTTTGGAATATGTGGTCAAAAAATGATTGCGATCTGTCTACGCGTGCATTCGTAAGATATTCGAAACTGAGACAACCTTGAAAAAATACCGACAATTTCTTCAATTTTTGATTGAATCAAGATATTTCGGAAAACTTGTAATCCACCTGTATTCACGAGAATCATCCGCATGTCAATTGGAAAATGATCCCCATCGGTTCACTAATATGTCGACAATTAACGATTCAATTTTATTTCCAATAATTTTATAATTAATGTGTAATTGGATGGAGGAACATGCGAATGCGTGTTAAAGTAAATTGGAAATAACTTGGAATTAAAATTTTATAGTTAATTTTAGATATGTCAGCAGACCGATTGGAAACCTTTTTTGGGTGTGAATTTGAAGGTAATCCTAACGAATGTCTAATTCACAGGATCGAAAGTTATGGGGAAAAAAATTTTAGAAAACTGCTGGTGCTTTTTCGTGGTCATCTCAGTTTCAAATCTATTATGGGCGTATATGTGATACGCATTACAATCAATTTTTAACGTTGGATTCTTAGTCAATTAAGGAAAGTTTATGCCAAATTTGGTTATCTTGGCAGAAATGCTTATATATGATCGGTATCTCGAAAATTAAACCATATAGAAAAGAATTGATTACATTACTATTTGAAGATCTTTTCATTTAAGTAAAAGTCACTACAAAATTTTGGAGTATTGCATGTTGTATAATTAGATTTTAGTAGATCGAAATTTTAAATGGATCAAAATGACTTTTTAGGTAGTTTTAATGTGAAGAAGTGGAGCCATAGTTCAGATAGACATTTGTAATTACATACCGTACATACCGAAAAGCAATATAAAATGATCCCTTTACTCATTATCACAAGTATGCTGCACACGGTTATTAGTGGAATCGTAACAGACGTAAGTATTATCTCTAGCGATTGCTTCCAACCTTATTACCGATTATTTATCAGTTATGGGTTGTGCATTGCATATCGCTTGTCACGTTGAATTCCATCAATGATTTAACTATGAATTAATATACGAAAATTTAAAGAGAAAAAGATGTAAGAGGCAATTGAACATTGATATCAATCATGTAAGTAAATGATGATAAATATTAAGTTGAAAAACTAAATATTATAACTAGACATTATTTATTCATTTATTTTTTTTTTTGGTTTTTAAATTAAAATATTGATTTATTTGCGTATAAGTGCAAAGTAAATGAAAAGAAAATTGAAGGGAACAATGAGGGTCTGCACACAATTCACATAAAATAAATTGAAAAGTTTTCAAAAACAACTGCACATTTAATGTACCGTACAATATTTACAAACATTATATTACATTTAAACCTAGACGAATTTACTCCAATTACAGCTAATTCAATTATCTTTAATTACCTTACGTAAAATACATAAATAAGTCGATTTGATGGCTTACATTTGTTTTTGCAAATATTCATAACTGTAATATCGAGTTAAAATATTTTTGCCATTTGAAATATTGGTTCTGTTTATATTCTTTAACGTTCTGAATTGAATAACTGCTTAATTAACATAAAAGTGTTAAATACACTTAAAACTTTCTCATCAAAGATAGTTTATGAAATTACTTCTCTTGCCTCTTTCAAATATATAGTCGGTAATGAAAAATTATACATATAGCGAAATAATATCTTGTTTGAGTTTGCAGGACTTTAAATTCTCTTTAAATGCATAGGACATGCTATTTGCTATCAGTGAAAGTAAGATTTCAATACGATCCCGCTAAGATAGTATGCGGGAAAAAGATTTCTATTGATTACATGAATCAATTGTGGCTCTTTTCGTTTTCGTTTTCGTTTTCGTTTTTTTTTGCTTCTTCTTAATAACGTTTAGTTTACTGTTCTGTTGATTTCCCTTTAACTTGTGTTGTCTTTCGTATCTTACTCAAGAATTACTTTAAGGATATTTTTATACCTTCAATAGTATTATACTAATTTTCTCATTACATTTCTAACTCTTAGACTCATAGGAAATTGCACTTGTGATGCATGTAATCAACAAGCGAGTTCTATCTCTTTTTATAAAATTGGCTGATTACGGTTATAGCGATAATTGCCCTTTCACATTCCGATGTTTGGCGAATGTATAAGTAAATCGGTGAATGCAGCGAATGCATTTCCATCGTCCGTCCATCATGAATCAAAATATCAAAATTAAGGCTATGCTACACGTTGAAATTCATGTAAACTCACACAATCGAATCGTACTTCGATCTTTGGATGCATGCTGCACGATACGGATGCACGATACGTTATGTTGAACGTTTAAGACATAATTTTATCTGCCTGTTCTTAAGCCAATTAATTGAGAATTTATCCGAAATTTTACATTAGAAAATGAAATTAGGCCCTTAGAAATAATACTAAGTTGTGATCAGAATTTATGAATGACTCGAAGATGCACAAAAAGATACTGCGACATCTAGGCGTGATAGCGCATCTTCATTACTGATATTTATTAATGAAAATGTGAAGAAGAAATTAGAATAAATTTTGCTTCAGGTTAGAGAAATTATCGTTAAAGACGAGACACAAGAAACACATATATTTGAATGATTTTTACTAATGCTATTTTCACTAAGGCTATAAGAAGCAACAAAGAAAGAAGCTGCGATTGTATATGCCAGGAAGCAGATGTCAATCCATGGGTAACGGCATCTAAAGTCACGCTCAAAAAAATGAAAAGACAGAGAATGTCGCAAGTAACGTGATGTACATGACAGTAATAACATTTTTTCTTTGCAAAGGTGCAGAAGTTGATCCTCATTACGAATGGTAATAAACCATCGAACGAGTTATCGTCACATCGATCCAATTGCCTGCTGGACACAATGAACAAGGTATTGGAGAGGATCATATATGAATGCCTGCTGGTGGTGGCTAAGAAAAAAAATTACTCTCTAGGATAACCAATATGGATTCAGAAGAACAGAGACTCTACGATAGACTCTATAAAACATGTACTGGCGCTTGCCTCAGACGCAATAGCCGGAGACCGGTGGAGGGGCGACAACAAAGAGTACTGCGCCGTTGTTATACTGTACGGAAAAGTGTCTTTAACTCGGCAGAAATGGGGGAACTTTCGTAAGGCCCTCATTACAACGCAGGTTCCAAGGTATATACTTGAAATTATAATAAGCTACTGTTCGAGCCACACGTTGGTATACGACAGTTACAGACTAAAGAACTACAACAGACAGAACGATATAAATTTGTGGGTACATTGTATCGGCGACTACTCTCATCCAGCATTGCAGAGTAAAGAAATGTTCGCAACACCGAGAAGGAAACCTAACGGGTAATGTTTGTACAAAAATCAACCATGTCCCCAATGTTATATTTCGGTAGATATTTTTCATTTATAGTTTCATTATTTTTGTATCCACAATTGAAGGAATGGTGGATATAGTCACGTTTGCAACATATAAAAGGAAACTTTAGAGACTCTATAAAGTATATATATTCTTGATCGGCTTGAAATTCTGAGCTGATTTAGCCATGTCCGTCTATCTGTATGTCTATCTACGTAATGTGTGTCTTCTGGTGACAAAAACGAAGTTATTGTCTTCAAATTTTGCAGAAACATTGGAAATTCTTAAATCGGACGAAGGACACGCCCACAGCATCACGTAAACTGAGAATACCTCTAATTTTCAAAGGGAGTGAAAAATTGGTTTGTTACTTACTCATTACTCATAAATTATAGTAAATAAATGCACAAAAATTTGAAAGCATATTCATTCTACGGGCAATACTGTAGCATTTGTGCACAAAAATGGGAAAAAATTGAACACGCCTACCCAATATTATAGTGTATTAAAATTTAATGAGTTTTTTTCAATACCTTTATAACAGGTACAAAAATTCCATAAATTATGCCGATTCTTCGTCAATTTCAACTCTTGAATGAACCTAAACATATCCGCCTATTCGTCGGTCCATCTATCTGCTTTGCGTAACTTTGTAGTATTTGTGATAAACATACTCCCATTAGCGGAAATGAAGATATCGCCTAAAAATTTGCAAAAGAATTTGAAAATGAACTAAAATTTTCAAAGGATAAGACTGCAAGGCCTACATGCTTCTACGACAAAAACTTTTATTTTGAAAATATATGAGAAATCAACTGGGCCCACTCCATAGTATGGAGCTTAAGAATTTTGTTCTTTTACTTTGGGGGGGGGGGGGGGGGAAACCAAACGACGATGGGTATGAAAGATTCGGTTTCGACCGAATTTAATTTTTTTATCGTTTGATCTTGTCCGACTATACCGTTTTAGTAAGTTGACATTATTTTTCTTTTCTTTTTTTTTATTTCATTGTAAATTTAAAATACTTGAGTCTTTATATCTACAAGAAAGGTGCTAATCAAGCACAATTGACAATTAATGAAAGAAAATCATAAAAAGCGCAAGTCCAGCATTCTATCTTTTATAACGAACGACATCTACAAGAGAGAAGATATTGCTTTAATTGTAATAAAAAATATTTTGAAATATTTACACATTTCTTTTTTTTTTTTTTTTTTTCTGTTTGAAATATGAAATATGCGTGAAAGAGACACGCTTTTGATTAAGATTTGAATCACACTACAATATATACATAGTTGTATTGCGTGCAGAAATGTTGTAAAATCTATGACGAGGACAATGAATCCACGGCTATGTTTCGTAATATTTCATTAATGGACTTTGCAAATACGGAATGTTATCCGTCTAGGAGAAAGAAAATACATCTGATGTTCTCTAATGGCTTTTATAAAAATGTGTATAAGAATAATTTTCAGTTGTAGATTGCGGGCTGAGAACATATCTTTTGGATAAGAAAATATCATTACAGTTACCGTCCAAAGCGACAATTGATAATCGATTTTTTGCGACATTCAAAAATACGATAATTTCGACTTGGAAGTTACATTCGCTTTAATAGAATCGTACAACATCTCATAGATTTCGTGATCACAACAATCAACTTATTGAGTTCAAAAATTCGTATTCATATTGATTACTTTTCTCGTTTAGTGGTAACGAGATTGTATGCATTCGTGATCGCATTTTTTATAGCCGCCACCATTATCCTAGAAAAGACTAAGAAAATAGAGAAAAATTAAATTTTCATAATTTGTAATTTAGTGGTGGGCATGGCCCACCACCAGTGCAGTGTATTTGTCATACTTTACGAGTAACGAGCAAAAAACGCGGAAAACCAAGGTGCTCACGGATTGTGTTACGTGTAGCCGTGTAGCTTGCTCTTCGCAAAGTTGGAATCTTTTTCGAATTGGTTTATTTGCCAAATTGTGTTTGGGGGTGGGAGAATATTTACTACAAATACTACATAGTTACGCAGACGGATAGATCGACAAATGTACAGATAGAGTTTCTTAGGTGCATAGCGATATTGAAATGGGTCAAAAAATTAATAAATCTTATCGAGATTTTGAAGTTTGCCTTTGGGATGTGATATAGGTTTTAATAGGAGAATGAAATCATGACATACTACAAATTAAATTAGGCATGTTCGATTTTTTGTCATTTTTGTACAGAGACTATAGCATTGCCTATAGAATAAATGTTCAAATTTTGACAGATCTATCTGTTGTAGTGTTGGTGAATAATGTGCAAAAAACGAATTTTGTATTTCTTTTGAAAAATGGACGTTTCCTTAGTTTACCTAGCTCTGTAGACGTGTCGCTCAAGCGATTTGGACTGCACCTGTTTGCAAGAGCTACCAAGATTTGTGTGAAATTTAAAGTCGATAGCTTCATTTTTGCGGCCATGAGAATTTGCAACAGATGGACAGAAATCGATTCAGAATTTGATGCTAATCAAGAATACATACACTTTGTGGGGTCATTAAAGTTCCCCCTCTGGATGTTGCAAATATTTTGAACAAAATAAATACATCCTACGTCCTTCGATGATGGGTAAAAAAACACTTATGCGATGCCCTATACAATATTTATGTTAATCTGTATTTTGGAGTATAAGTTACACTATTTTATTTCCAATGTGTGCGTGACTTTAGGCCGCTTAGTTCTTGTACGCAGATTGATTTTGAAAATTGTACAAATCGATTGAAGAACACGCCTATAATGAAACGAAAGTGAAAACATTTTCGTTTTCCGCGTTTTTTGATCGTTACTCATAAATTACATTAGACATGAGATAAAAAAAAATTTGACTTTTATTCTACGAAAATAGCAAAAATCAGTCACGCCCATACAATATTATAAAATGTGAAAATGTAGCTTTTGTTTTTTTTTTTAGAATAACGACAACGTGTATACATGATTCGGTGACGGCCGAAGATAATTTTCTCATTAAAATTTGTACCGGTCACAGACCTCAATGACTATGTTTTCGATGAATTTAATGAATTTAATTAATGTAATACCTAAAGGAGGTAAAAAAAAAAAAAAAACGGCGAACATTATTTACCGAAATTTTGTTAACTTTCCGTCTAATCACAAATAAATGTTGGTGTCCCATAGGCTGTTATTTGAACTCCTTTCGACTAATTTCGAGCTCATAGATGGACGCATCGCTTGATTACAAATAAAACTCGTTGCTAATACTCAGTGATCATTAATTTAATGTTTGCATGGTGATCACCTATTTACGTTAACGGAAGTTTTTAAGATGTCAAACTGCCCACCATAACTTAATAGTTCTCTCCCCCACTTTTAGAACAAAAAAAAAAAAAAAAAGAAAAGAAGAAAATTAAAAGCAACGGAAGATCACTTACTTCTTATTCACTGAGATCGTATATCATTATAATTACATATTATAATCATTAACATCATATCATACAATATATATATATATATATATATATATATATATATGTACGTGCGTGTGTATGTGTGTGCAAGCAAGGAAAGTGTAGCAAAATAAAAAAAAAAAAAACCACTAATTTTTACTTTGAGTTTGAAGCCCCTTTATTGAAACGTTTTTCTTTTTATTTTTTTTATTTTTTTTTATTTTCATTTTACTTGCACATGCACAGCTACTCGGAAACTTACTCTACGTAGTATTGCGTTAATGTAATGTGTTTATGTGCGCGTGCGATTGTGTGTGTATGTGTAAATTTTCGTATATTATCACACATTACACTCTTAAAAAGCAAATCGCAATACTAAACAAAAGTTTTCGTTGTTGTCGTATAAAAAAGATTAACTAACTAAGAAAAAAAAAAAAAAAAAAAAAAAAATCAGCGAACTTTATTTAATGTTTGTAGAATTCGACCGTTAAACGACAGTCTGACCACGAGCTTCAAAACGATCGCATTTATACAAGAAAAACAAGAAAACTATACGGAACTTATTTTTTTACGCGAAGTTAAAAAATCAAGAAATTCAAAGGAAATTTGAAAACAAATCTTCGCTTTTTTTTTTTTTTTTTAAATATCTTAAACAGTCAAAAAAAAAAAATTGTAATAGAAATCCTTTAGCATTTCAAACAATCGAAAAAAACATATATATATATATATATATATATGTATATTTTTTTTTTTTTTTAAAGAAAAATAACAGCAAAAAAAAAAAAATTAATAAATAAATAAATAAATAAAATTTCAATTCAATTAATTTGTTAAGTGAAATTAATTTGTAAAATAAATAATAGTAAGATAAATAAATGCGTTGCTAAGTGAAATTTTTACAAAAAAGAAAAAAAAAATTGCGAAGCCATGTAAATCCAATAATCAAACTTTAACTTTAGTTTAAATCGTTTTGGTTATGCATCAGATAAAATGCAAAATAGCAAACGTTGTAAATATATATATATATATTTTTTCTTTGACTAACCGGCAAAATCTATTGCACTCCTCCCAGACAGATTTACTAATTTGACATTTTTATTTCGCATCTGTGAAATGAAGGCGTGGCATATTCATTAAGGAAGAATTGTCGAATGAACGCAAATCATTTCAATAATAAACAAATATTCAAACCGATGAACCGTTATTCCCTAATCTATATATAGGTTTCTTTGCAAAAAAAAACACAGAAAACAAATAAAAAGAAAATATTTAATTAAAATTTCAAATTTCTGCCTTTAATTACAAGGAATTAACTAACTAACTTCATTCATATACGTTTTTAACCGCTCGCATCCTACATTGTTTATACGAATTCAGGCATTACGCGGAAGGATTTAAGATAAACACATTCTTTACCATAGTATTTAATTCACAATTATTTCTCTGCAATGCTTAATTAAGCATGTCTGTCCATCTGTCCGTTTATTGTAATTTAATGTGTTCACACAATATTCAGGATATATTAGTTAAGTATGGCAACCATATATGAATCTTGATGAAAATAGATTGAATCGGTCCATTTTTACAAGTCCATTCCATTCCCATTCAAACAAGTCGTTATATGAAAGAATTATACAATTTATAATACTTTTTCCTAAGACTTAGTGAAGAGTCACATTGTTCGTTATCCTTCCCAATCCATTACTGGGTACAAGCGATCATATATGTTATTATGATATTATTATACCTAAAAATTTTCTCGGTTCTTCCTTGTGTTTATGCTTTTGTCTATTGTTCTTAGATCTATTCATTTTCGAATATTACCCAGCTACGATGTTTGTTTTCTGTCTAGGCCTCTACGCCCTTCGATGCGACCTTTCACTGTTAAGTGCAGAGCTTCATAATTTTCTCCCCGTTCGATTTTCAATACACTCTAATAGCTAACGCTCAAAGTTTATTTCCTCCAGGATTTAAGCATTGGATATGCGATCTGTCCAAGATACTTTCAACGCTCTATGATAACACCGCATCTCACACGCTTTCAGTCTCTACATTGTTGATTGATTTTTAAGGGCCATGATTCCGGACCATGCATAGGCAAAGGGATGAGTTAATTTCCCGACTTATTAGAATTTTCGGATATTTCGTGTACGACGACCCAACGATTTCAATTTTTCTTTTCATTTCTACGTCGCTGCCGCAGGCATAAAACCATGGCAACCCTTTCTATATTTTGATCATTAATTGATAGAGAGTGACATTTGCATATGGAGTTTCCGATCGACTTACGGTCATACATAATTCGATTTTGCTGATATTTAGGTTTAAACCAAAATTTTCACTTTGTAGTTGAGCATACTAAACATATATCGAAATTTTTCAACGGAATGGTACCATTTTTTGAACTCCCCTTTCATATAAACAAATGTTCTCATAAATTACTAAAAAAGTTATATTCGGCGGGAGCTAAATCTCGCATACTCATCACTATGGTTTCCACTATTCAAGTTCTTTTATATGGGTATCAATATCGGTGATATTATTAAGAAAAAAATAATCACTGATCAAGAATATATATACTTTAGAGGGTCTGTGAAGCTTCGTCTTGGGAGAAAAAAACCAAGATGAGTATAAACCTTTCCGTCAGCGTTGAGTATAAAAATGATCTTTTACGAGTCAAGAAAGTATAGTTTGTAGTATTTTACGATGAAAATTGATCCAATATAAACTGACTATGAGAAGTTTGGAGCAAAGTGATCTATCGGTTCTTGCAGACTTTTCCCGTACAGCTATTTTCACAAGACGTAAGCCATTGTATGGAAAAAAGGTATAATTTTCGACACTTTATAACGAAAGTAATCGAAGAAAATAAGTTTTACTTAATTTCGATCAAGTCCCTTCACGTTCTCGTCCCATATCCATTTGAGGATTCCCACACAAATCAGCGACCACGTCTAATTAGTTTGGTATTTTATGACGGAGCTAGACAAACGATTCTATTAAGCGGAGCGATTATAACATTCTAAACTGCTTCTATGCGATCCGTGAAATAAACCAAAAAGCCTAATAAATAGCTCGTCACATTTGCAAACCACCCATACATAGACACACTAATTACCTCATTACTTCTCTGAAATGTGCCCGGGTATTCTTATTTAGTTCTTTCACCTCAACTATCTATTGCTCTTGTAATGGAATTATTGCGTGCTTGCATGTATTTTGATCAATTTTTCGCTTAAAAAATGTATTTAGTGAGAAAAAGCTGATAGAAAATACATTAATTAAAATATTTTCCATTATTTTGTACAACTTTTTACAGTGTCGAAGGAGCAGCATTGGCTTGGTAGCGATCCTATCATAGACCAATTTTTACAATTCTTTAGCATTTCGAAACCATGTGACAGCTAAGCCAGGCTACAACATCGATATAAATCGATGAACAAATGGTAATCAGGAGGTGCTAGGTTTGGTGAACACGATGGCTGCGGTATGCGGTAGAATTTCCAATTCGAGTTGCAACAGTGTATCCTGGAAAACTTTTGGAACGTGTGGCCGAGCGTTGTCATGTAAGAGGATGACATGAGGATGCGTCTGTTAACCGCTCTTACCGGTCCTTTTTGCAACAATAAATTGTTTAATTTGTCCAATTGTCGTCGATAGACATCTTTCAACAACAACAGTTTCAGTTTTGTTCGTTCTTAGCAGCTTGTAATGCACTACATCTTGCTGATCTTACCACATGCAAACGAGAACTTTATGGCCATCAATATTCCGCATCAGTATTGAGGTTAGGATACATATCGTAGAAAACTCTTGCTTTCTTGAAACGCTTCGAAATGGCATTTTCCTGGTAGCCATTTTCCCCCCTTTTTGGATCTTTTCCATCGCATGCAAAAGTCTAGAAACAATTGATTCAACTGTTAAATTGTTCGAAAGTCCTTTGAGAACTCGAGCTGGGTTTTTGGTCAATAACTCTTGCACTCTATTGTCCTAGAACTTTTTTGATCCTTCAACTTTGTCCTTGACACTTTTAAACTGTTAGGATGTGATGGAGCATTATCACCATGAGTTTCTTCCAAAAATGTTTGATGGATATCGGCAGCAGATTTTTTCAAATCAAGCAACTAAAGTAATGAATGGCGAAAATGCAATTTTGAGCTTTGCATGATTAGCGCTCGTATACACTGCATACCTCACTAGTAGTACACTACGGAAATTTGTTATTTTACATCGAGAAGGATCAAAATCGTCGAATTTAACCGTTATGTATATTGACACTTTGCATTACATTTTTATTCTCTTACACCCATAGATGTCGCCGATCAAAACACATGCAAATATCTATTATTAGCCGCGTCTATCGCATCCAGTATGAGAAGCAGTAACGAAAGAACAAAAAAATGTATAGCATATGAAATTTTTCTTGATTCCTTCTAAAAAATCCTCTCACTTTCTTTAGGAATCAATTGTTCGCAGATCGTATGCTTTTTTGCCTCACCCACTGACAATAGAAGTTATTACGTAAAAACTATGTAACTTGATTGGTTTATCAATTCAATGTTTTAAGTAATTAAAGAGTCTAATCTTTGTCTTGACACAACGCAGTTCATATTGTAAAGGATGAAAGATAATTGAACGCTTGACGTTGTACCCTTTGGTAAATGTGTGTTTGATTTGAATTTTCTTGTTCACATGCTGATCGAAATCAAGTAAATAAATTAATTTGAATCGATATATTAAGTGAATATTGGATGCAAACGCGAACCAATTTCGAAGTCTGCGTAATGAAATTCTTCACTAGGACTACTCCTCGCGCCTGTTCATCATTTGGTTAGCTTGTGGTTTTGCATTTTAAAAATAACACTTAAGAAAATTATATTCAGTCGTGATTGGACTTTTCATATCTATCACCGTGATCCTAAATGAGGAGGAAAAGAACTACATTTTCAATATTGGATGGGCGTGATTGATTTTTTCTATTTTTAGAATAAAAACGAAAATTTACATGGTCTACGTGTTGTCCATGTATTTTAAGAGTAATATACAAAAACACAGAAAACAAAGGTGTTCACGGATTGTGTTACATAGACGTGTAGGTTTTGCGGGCTTGTTCTTTGCAGAGTTTGGTTCATTTTCGAACTCTTTTGCAAGCTTTGAAGCGTTACACTCATTTCTGCGAACGGGAAAATGTTTACCACAGCTACAACGCAGTTTCGCAGACGGACAAACGTACAGATGAACGGCCAGACATGCTTAACTGCATTCCAAATTTGAAGCTGGCCCAAAATTTACATAATTTATGGCAATTTTGAACTTTTTTGCTATACGTTAAAAATGTTTTGAAAAAAAAAAATAAATAAAATTTATGAGACACTATAAAACGGAGTGGGTGTGGCCGATATTTTTCTCATTTAGTAAAGATGCTACAGCATCGTCCATAGAATATAGGCTCAAAGATTTGTAGATTTATCTACTGTGGTTTATGAGTAATAAGCAAAAAAGCAATTTTTTATTCCTTTTGAAAAACTGAGGTGTTACCATTTCACCTATTACTATAGACTTGTCCTTCAACCGATTTGACGCAATTTTCAATCCCAACCTCATTGCAAGAGCTTCCAACATTTTTTTTTGACTAAATATAAAGTCGATAGCTTCATTATTGCGGCGGGGGGAATTTTTAATAACAGACATTAGACAGATGGACAGACAGAATGATCAAGATCATGAATATATTTGTGGGGTCTCTGAAGCTTCCTTGTAGGCGTTTCAAACAAAAATGAATGAATAAAATGAATATACTCCTCACTTGCTGATGATGGGTATAAAAAGGCGAAACGTGTCGGATATGCAAATTTATCCTTAAACGAGGTGGATCTCCACAAAATACTTTCTGTCTTGAAAAATTAGTACAGTAGTTCTCGGCATTCAC